AGTACGTAGGAATGCGCATGTTTGCTTGTTGTTGCAGTATTTTGCAGGTTATTCCCCATAGCCTTTCCATCCACATAAAGGTGTATTTTTGCTCTGGAGATATTCGTATTGCATTGAATGGTCTTGTCATGCTTCTGTGGGGGTTGAGAGACAGGATAATGCCGACCAGTGCCCATATCTGTACTTTAGCTCATGTTTCATGAAACATGACAAAAGCAAAAGCAGTTTTCATACAGAGTCTTCAGTGGCTTAAGTGCTGCAGTAAAAAGACTGAGAGCAGAAGACCTGGGTTCCGCTGTCCCAATTTTTTGGAAATCATTTCACTACTGTCAGATTTAAATTCTTCATCCCTACGAAGATAAACTGTATCAGAGCAATATAAGAGAGAGTAACTCTGTAAATTTTAAAGGATTCAAATAATTTGAAGCATGTTGTCTCTGAAATGGAATTTAAAGTTAAAACAGAAAGGTACAAAAAAAGAAAAAAGAAAAGAAAACCTCCAAATGTTTGAAAAACTAAATATAATAGTAAATAATCCATGGATCAAAGACATAGTTGAAAAGTATAAAGAAAACAAAACATGGGTAGCTTTAAGATACAATACTTCAAAGGACATTTATAGTACTGTATGATTAGATCAGAAAATAAGAAAGCTCTAAGATCAGTGCCTTTAGCTTTTCTTCTAAGAAACATGAAAATGAACCAACTAAGCCTGCAATAAACAGAAGAAAAGAATAAAGGTTCGAACAATAACCTGTGAAACATATAGCTAAAACTTGTAGAGAAAATCGATAAAAGAAAAACTAGTTCTTTGATAAGATTTAAAATTTAAAATTGATATATTACAAACCTGACTGCACCAACAGTGGGAAGTCAGGTTATCGTGCAGCGCGAGTGTTGGGACCACAAGTGGTTCTATGAGTAGTAAGCGGGTAATAGGGAAATATGCCATAAACCTTATTCTGGTGAAGTCAACAATTTAGCTGCAGTGGACAAATTGCATGAAAAACACAGATTACCAAGAAGTAGATGTGAGTAATAGTCATAAGTGGTGTTTTGGGCGCTAAATATATTAGTAGTCAAAAATCTTTCTCACAAAGAAGACTCCTTTCCCACAGGTCTTCAGTTCTACCAAACACTTTCGAAATAGTGTCAGTTCTTTGCAAAATTTTCCAAAAAATTGAAGATGAAAAAATTTTCCCTATTTGTGCTGTGATGCTACCATTAACCTGATATCAAAAGCAAACAAATAGTCCATTATCACTAATTTGAGTTTATTCTAGGCATGTAACATTGATTGAGCCTTTAAAAATAAATCACAAGGGTTGGGGAGATAGCTTAGCAGTCTGAGCCCCTCCCTGGCAAGCACAAGGACCCAGGTTTGATCCCCAGGACCGCTTGCTGTGCCAGTACCACATGCCAGGCTGGCCACCGAGACTGGGTGTGGTGACACGTGTATAATCCTGGTGTCGAGGAGGCTGAGCCTGGAGGGTCACTGTAAGTCCGAGCTGTGTAGTGAGACCCTGTACCAAGTAAGTAAATAAATGAGTATCACAGCAGCTCACTATAGTAACAGATTAAGAAAGAAGTATCTCAATAGATAGGGGAAAAAGTCAAGAACATTCAGTATCCATTTATGATTTTAAACAAAGCAAAATATTTCCAGTAAATTGGGAGAAGGAAAATCAGTCAGTTGGATACAGTGAATCTAAGAAAAACTTACAGCTATTCTTTTTTTTTTTTT